GTGTAAAAAAAAAAAAAAATTATAGATTTTTATTTTTATGTCTTTTACATCCTGTAAAAAATTATTTTCATTTGTTATAAAATTTTTATTTTTTGTTGTGTATTTCTTATTTGCAAAGATATATTTTTATTATTTCTTCTTTTATCCTTTCTTTTCAAAGATTTTGTCTCTAATTAGAAAATATTGAACAATGAATAGGTATGATATAAAAGCCACAATATCTTTTATACTTTGATATAAACCAGTTATAATGATATAGGCCTACTCAAGCTAGGAGCATATGCATAGGCTTTATGAGATTTGTAGGCCATGATTACTTAATAATGAGGAATGAATAGGCATGATATAAAAGCCACAATATAAACCAGTTATAATGAGCTAGGCATGTTAGGAGTGTATGCATAGGGTTCATGAGATTTGTAGGCCATAATCACTTAATTACACAGGAGTCAGAGTTGGAGGTGTCAAAAATAGTGGAGTCGGAGTCGAAGGTTTTGTGTTCTGACTCCACAGCCCTGGTATGGACTCAGATTAACTAAGTATTTAAAAAAAAAGAACAAGATAAGCTATCTTGGGACATGGACAGATGAATGAGAATGTAATGAAAGAGATAATCAGTCCCCCCCCCCCCAAAGTTTGTGTTCTGTGTGCAATCTGCTGAAGAAAAATTACCAAAATGTAGTTAGCAAAAATCTACTTCAATGACTAGAATCTATGCTAATGTTCTCCCCTCCCCTGAATGGCATGACCAATCATAAAGATCTCTCGATGAACCAAAGCCTTTGTTTTTCGTTTATAAAGGCAGAAGATTTTCTGAGCTGGTGAGCTGAACACACGTTTTTGCTCATGAGAAGTGAAGGTTGGATGTGTGACCCCATTTTGTCGTTTCTACTTTGCTTGTTGGACTGTTACGACGGGCTATTGTTTGAACTGCCATTTGGCTACAAGTGTTGCGGTCGAGAAACAGGAGAAATCTATTACAGTTGCTATTATAAGTTGACAGTCTTTTCTTTTCTTTATTACAACAGAGAACAGCATCCTTCTTTAGAACCACATTTTTTCTGTCTCGCATCTTCATCTGTGAGGAGATTGTCTAGCATTTGGTGTCATGTAGGAAAATTACATGCATGGGCTGAAAAGTTCATAGGTTGACTTTGAAGAATTGATGCTGGAGCTATGAAATCTTCCATGCATTAGTTTCACATCTTCCTATTAATAACTGCATTGTTTCTTTCCATGTAAACTGGCAACTGGGGCAATATCAAAAAATAAATCTCATTTGGTCACATTCCATAAGAGTATCTTGGTCAACCTTTGAACCTTTCAGCTGATGTTGTATGCAATAACTTGTACAGTTTGACCTCTTTAATCCTGTACATTGGGACCAGATCACTGCTGGACCACAAAAAATGCCTGGATGACAGAAATCACCCCTAAAAAAAAAACAAAACCTATGTAAAGATAGTCTTACCAGCTCATTCCAGGGATACAGGGTGTCCCATAATGATGGGACATATTTTAAATGCTAGTATCTTGGATTATAAAAATGATAGCGAGTAACAAATTTATTACATAACTGATATGCAAGGGTTCAACATATTATGATTTGGATATTACATCCCTGAGATGGTCACCACCATGAAGAGAACATTCATATATGCATATATTTTTTTTTTTTTTTTTTGGAGTTCGCAACATTATGAGGGTCCACTTTTAGCAAAAGAGATAGAAGATACCTGTAGGAAATAGCAAAATTTTAGATAATATGTTGAACTCTTCCATATCTAATATGTAATAAATATATTTGTTACTGTCATTTTTATAAACCAAGGTACTTGCATTTAAGATGTGTCCCCTCATTATGGGATATCCTGCATTATCAAATGTAGAACAAAGTTTAAAACAGGAAATTAAATAATCAATAATGCTTCTGAACAAGGGTTTTATTGTTTTATGCAATACAAAGACTAAAAAAGAAGTCTATAACCAAAAAATAATATATTTTTACTATCCCTAATGGGTAAATATGAAGCTATATATATAAGAGTGAGAAAATATCACCCAAACACTCATTGGCTGTTGAAAGTTGTGTACATGTGATACACTCGTGACCTGGTCCCACAGAAAATACTGGATGATAGAAATTGTTGAGTTTTTTGTTTGTTTTTTTCCACTGTAGAAAAAAAAAATAAAAAAAGTTAATTCCCCTTGGCAAAATGACAATTTGGAAAAGGTATCTTTACACAGGTGGCACTGTTAAGTTATTTGCATGGGAATAGTTATAAGATTATTATTGGCCAATCATTGAGCTAGCCTCGTGCGTGTGTGCACACGGGTATGTATGTGTGTGTGTATATATATATATATATATATATATATATATATATATATATATATGTACACACACACGCCAAGGGAAAAACGCATCATCGATTATAAAATATAATTTATATCAATTGATAAGTTTTTAATACTCGTCTCATCAGACCAAAATTATTTGTAATTTCGGTCTGCTGAGACCCAGTGATATAAATTATAATTTATAATAGAGTTTTCGATGATGTGTTAAATTTTTCCTTGTTGTATATCATATTGCTCTGTATACTATACATTGAGCTCCCTTTATGGATCTTTTTAATATTTTATATTAAAAAGACCTACATGGACTATCTATCCTTTCCACTTACAGATTTGATATTATTATCTATCTATCTATATATATATATATATATATATATATATATATATATACACACCTCTACTAAATTTTCAATAACTAAGGTTTAAAATGAATTTTTAAAAATGAAAAAATATTCTTGAAGCTTACATTTTAGCTTTTATTGAAATTTAAATAATTTTTTTCTTAAGCAAAAAAGTGTTCTTAATAAATCTGATTTATAAAAGCAATTAAAAACAGTTCTAATTAAATAATGTCATGGTTTTATTGCATTTTTTATTTTACAATTCAGAGCAGATTTTTGGTAACTAGGTGTCCTGTTTTACCAAAAAAATGATGATTTATTTTTTCCAAGGAGTCTTGCTATTAATTAACAAAACAAATAAATTAAACATATGAAGACAATACAATTTGAAGAAATCAAGGAAAAAACAGCAGTTATAGTTATCAACATTTCATATATATATATATATATATATATATATATATATATATATATATATATATATATATATATTTGACATACACAAAGTGATGATAGTTTGCTTGTTAAATGTGAGTTAAGATTGCAAAGAGTGTCCATGCAGAGATTTGGTGAATGAATGTTGATGGTTTAAGTTTGTGAAATTAAAACAGTTTGATTTCTGCAAGGTAAAATGTCAATTGTGTGAGTTCAAATAATAGTGTGTATGTGTGTGACAATTGTAAGTTTTGATTCAAGTTATGAAGAGTTGTGTGCTAAAGTGATATGCTAAAGTTGATTAAATGTACAATTACTATTTTGTAGTGATAATGTCACTTTTTTAGTAAATTGTAAGTTAAGTTTCTTCATGTGGCAATAGTAGTGTGAGTTGTGTTGAGTTGAGTTGATGAGAGGCTGGTAATGTTATTGAGTCAGTGTGTTGGCATGAGTGGGGTCTGCTGGCATCTCTCGAAACTCAGTGTCTGACTGACTTGAATTAAGTCGAGCAATTCTTTTTTTATAGGTTTTTGGGTTTTCAAATAGGCTCCAGACAGCTGCGCAAGAAAAAAAAAGGATTTGTCTCAACTTGCTACATTGTTGTGTCCTTTTAACCAGTGGGAAGTTGAGTTTGGAAAAGTGAAGTGATGATTGGTTAAAGGTTAATTTGGGGAAGAGTGCATCTTCCTTTAGGGGGTGACAGGCAAGTAAAGAGGATTCCATAAAGTGGGGGGTAATATATATCAAAAAATATTTTTTACCAAGATTTTCTAAAAATAAAATTTCATAAATAATTTCATTCACTTGTAAATAAGCCCTGAAGTTTCATTAAAATCGGACAATTATCTGATTTTTGAAAAAATTTCAAAATCAACATGTTTTTCAACTGAAAAAAAAAGGTGCTAAAACACTAATTGTAAATATTATGTTGATCGCATATACAAAAAAAAAAACTAGTTTTTAACCTAAATTTTGAATGTGCTAGAAAGGATTAAAAATTTAATAAATTAATGAAAAATATTTGATCTTTCCTCTTAATAATAACAAACTTTTTGCCGATAAAACTTTTTTTATTAAGTTTGGGTCCTTTTTTCATCATGCTATGCTGTTTTTTCAGTGAGCAAGTGGAGGTACATATATAGTCTCTCTCTCTCTCACACACACACACACATATATATATATATATATATATATATATATAATGGTCCACACAGAGAGAAGAGGGAAGCCATCTTGAAGCGAAGGTAACCAGAGTGAAAAAAAGGTGAATCCAGCAGCAATTTAACAGAAATCACCCCTAAAAAAGCCCTGTGTAAACATAATCTTGCCAGCTCATTCCACGTATATATTGATATGTTGTCAAAAGTATATCAAAGCTTAAAACAATGATTAATACTTCCAAACAAGGTTTTTAGTGTTTCATGCAATCCAAAGGCTAAAAATAAGAGCCTAAAACCAAAAAATAATACATACTTACTATCCCAAATGGGTAAATACGTAGCTATAGATAAGAAATGGATGAGACCATATCATGAAAACACTCTGCTGCTGTGGAAAGTTGTAAATGTGTGATATTACCCCAGTAGCTGCTCAACAAATAATAGTAGCTGATTCAAAAAGTAACCGGACCGTAGGAGTTGTTCAATCACAGAGTTTTGGATTAAAATACTTGGCTTGTAAAAAATTTTTTTTTTTTTTTTTTTTTATAGTAAATAGGTACAAATAAGTGAATATACAATTATTTTTCTTTTTTTTAGGCATGGGATGAAGCAAAATGAGGAAGAGACAAAGCAAGTGGTTTCGTTCAAAGTATACTTAAGAAAATTTAAAAATAAAATTACTGTGGAAAAGTACAAGATCCCTATGATGGGGACTGGAAGTTCTTTTTTACATTCACCAGATGATGATGACATTGTTGGTGCTGACTGTGAGACCAACAGCTACGGGGTCATCAAGAGGATTCCTATTGAGATGAAACCCAAGGGTCGCCTGGGCCTGCGACGACCAAAGGACGAGAGTTTGCGATCTATAGATCTGGACAGTCAAGAATTAGAGCGCAAAAACAAGGAATTTGAGATGTATCGTCGGAATAAGGAACAGGAAATTGCCAACATGTCGAAGAAGGAACAGAAACTTGTAAACGAGAATAAGAAATTTCGTGCAGAATTGCTAGCCTTACAGAAGACCTGTACGAAATTGCGAGGTGAACGAGACTTAGCCATGGAGGCTGAGAGTCAAGCCTTAGCACGTGCTGCAGCTTTTGAGAATGACCGGGATAAAATACAAAGACAATTTAAGGTAAGGAACCATTTTTTTTTTCTTTTTTAATTTTAAAAAAAATTTAATACTTTTTCCCACTTATAACATTTTTTTTTTGTAATTATGAAAACAAAAAAAATAAGAAAAACTGATTCAATCTTTTCAAATGATGAATTCATTTTCTCTTCATATGCAAGGGGTTTAATGCCAGAATAGGTTCTGGCTTATTATAATATCCTTCCAAAATATGTCAAGGTTACCTAGGAGTTCCAGTAGTTCCTGTTTACAATTCTGTTATATTATTCTTTCAAGTGTTTTTCACTGTTGAACACATTCATTTTATAGCTTTTGTTTTTCACTATTGAACACATTCATTTTATAGCTTTTGTTGTTACCTTCATAAAAAATTGGACAAATATCTTTTATAATTTCAAAATGAGATATCATCATTCCTATAGTTGCCTCTTGTAGTCAGTTTCTTTTGGCTTGTAAACAATTTCTGTAATCAGTTACCTTCAACCAACGAAGGAGTGAACTTAAGCCAAACAATGCACATGATGAACTATATCCAGTAGCAAGACCTCTGATTGGAAGGTTTTCAGGAGCGTGGAACCACCTCTTAATTGCTGTTGTTCCCAGGTCCCCTCTGACCCAGGGTGGTAGCACCTGTTAGGGTCTCAACTATGGGAAAATAGTTAACACCAAAACTGGGGACAAAACACTATGAAAGTATAAAAATAGACTTTTAGAGTAAAAATACCACCAATACATTTTTGAAAAAAAAATCATCAATACTGTAGACAAAATCCCTCTTTACAAAAAATCATCAATGAAACCTGATCTACAAACTGATTTCTTACAAAGAATACATATTTTATTCATACAAACCTATCTTGATGGAATTAAAAAAAAACCCATTGAGATGTTGATATGCCATAAATCAAAATACAGTGTAACCCAGATATAAGAGAGTTGTCGGGACCGGAGAAGAAGTCTCTTATATCCGGGTTTCTCTTATATCCGGGTTTGGTCTATTTTATATACATTAACACAGGCTCTAATTTGGGACCAGAGAAAATCTCTCTTATATCCGGGTTACACTGTAATCCTAAATCTAAACCCAAACAATCTACAAACACTGACCACAACATTTGTATCCTGTTTGCTACCACACTTCATCTTTTTTTGCTGCCACTTTTTAGGCATGTTTTATATCTTGATTGACAGTTAAAATTTACATATTGTTATGGTGTCCTCCCTCTTAAGAGTCTGTTAGATTCTTCTGCCTACTATAAATTTAGTAGGAGAGAAGGTTCGGGGAACTGTAAATAGATTGAATGCTAGTTCATTCAATACTCTCTCTCTTCTGGTGTACCTAATGTTTAATATACCATATATCTGCAAACCTGGTTTTTGTTATTATTTAACCATTTACTTGGTCACAACACATATATTAAAAGAAATTCTTGTGAGAGTCTATCTGACTTAAATATATTATTGTGAAGCTGCCATTTTCCTTTTTGAACACCTTACATGCAAGACACATCCAAATCCATTATTCATCCTGAAGATAAGCCATTTTCTCTCATGTTACAATTCCAAGTGTTTCTTAGACTATTCATTTGTTTCTTTTTGTTGTTCCCACAATGTTTTGAATGATTCATTTTATGGCCCTTCTACAATCTAAAAGCTGGATAGAAAACAAAATGGAGCCAAACATATAAAATAGCTACCAATATACTGATTAAACCTGAGACACAATGCCATTTTAATCCAATACTTTCTCTCCTTTACTAAAGCTGATGAATTCGCCCAAGATTTTTACTGACTGACCAATGATTACTCTTCATGTTGCATTTTATTCCTCAATCTATTTGGTGTGCACTGCAAACTGGGAAAGAGCCTGCTGCATGCTCACAAGGTAACAAGATGAAAGACCAATACTAATCGAGAAATAAGAATGCAAACCATGTTTCCCATATTATTCCTTGCTTTTCCTAATCAACTGGGTTGGTGAGTAGGTAGGTGATACTTGGGACAACCTCTGCTATATCAGCTCTTCCCCTCATCTCGACATGGTTGGTAATATGAATGGAAGCTTCAGAATTACAACAGACGTGCCTAATTCCCACCAAGGGTGGACCAGAACTTTCCCCAATCCCAAGCATAACTGTTAATATAGACCAGTACCTGAATATACACTATTTCCGGTTTTGTTGGGACTTGATCATTAAAACCCATCATCCACCGTTTTACTTCTGGTTAAATTGGATGCCACTTAGAAGACCAAACTTCAAAAGGAACCATCTGTTGGTGCATCAAACAGAAACATTTCTGATTGTGATAAAACCACTTCTTCCCTTTCTATGTGGGTGTCCATAGTATCACAGAAGCCCACAAAGTAACTGATTTTACTCATGTAAAGATAAATGGGTTCTTAGGAACAAAGCAGTGAATGCTGATGTTCTCAATAGTGCTTGCAGTAAAATAGAATTAGTGGACTGATGATGTTCTGTTACTACTCACCTAACCAGACATGAAGAGAATGATCTAGGGAAAAATACAGTCCGCCAGAAATTTGGAAACAGCATGCTGTACTGCTTGTCATTCATGCTGGAAGCTTCAATATAAACATTTCAGAGTGGGTGTAAATCTGAAGGCAGTGCAGAGGATTGAGAAAGAGTTGAACGAGTTTAATCATGATTATGAAGGTACGGCAGCTCAGTAAATTAACTCTGATTGTGTTGATAAGAAAAGAGCTCCCAAATTTGTTAGTGAGGGCCTCAGACTCAACATGGAGGCTTACATCAAGGGCCTTGAGCAGATAGTGCTGCCCTGGGTCAAGAAGGTGACTGCTGGAAGAACCTATGCCTGGCATCATGTCACACAAGTAGGAGAACCCAGTTATGGCTGTGAGACAATTTCTTCAATCACATCACCCCTTACATCTGTCCACCTCACTCTCCAGACTGTAATCCCCTTTATTATTGTGTGGGGTGCAGTTGAGTGAGAAGCCAACAAAACAATGATGAACTGAAAGCAAGGATTGTGGCAGTATTCACCAACTTAAATGAGGTGACCATCTAGAAGAGTTACAAGAGATTCCAAAGTCTGGAGGCTGTGGTTGAAGCCAATGGCAATTTTATTGAATAAATTTACTTTTTAGTATTTCACCATATTTTTGTGTAATTTTGGTAAATATATGTTAAAGTGAGATGTCAATGTTATTTTCATTTTTGTGTAATTTAGATGACAATTTATCCATTGCACCCCGTATTATGAACAGGACTCCCTCGCTTCTAAATTTAGAAAAAATCATTATTTTTTGATTCTAACAAATGTCATGTTTTAGTGAAAGTTTAATGTATCTACAAAATTATTCACCACCAAAATCTTTCCTTACTTTTTTAAAAGTGGATCAGTCAATTTAAGTGCTGTTTGTCTAAAAGACTTTGTATCTGAGGATACCATTGGAAAAAATATTTTTGATTTTCTGAAAGTTACTGGAAGTTTAATACTTTCGAGTAACCTGACCAAACATTAAAGCATAAATGACGAAAATAAATTGTCTATTTTTTCTTCTCTATTGTTCACCCAATCCAAGGCTAAAGGGCCAATCACAGTAAAGAGTTACTCAGTGAGATTGTGTATAATGGACACACATGTATCTCCCAAGGCCTACAGGTATTTTGCAAACTTTTAGACTGTTGTAGAGTAGCTAGCACCCTTTCAGCACTCTACCAGATGGCTTGGCTCATAGCCTTAAATAGTCTATGGTTAAGGACTTCAATAGTTGATAAATAAGTTGATACTAAGCTGATTAATATTCGGACTGATTTTACTTCATTTAGCTATACAGCATTTGACTCTCTTTTATTCCTTGTAAGTTGTCTTGTTAATTGTTTTGTAACATATCGTTCTGTGTTTTTTTGTATGTATCCATTAGCACCAGATACTGGTGCTGAATAAATATATTAAGCACTCATTTTTTTCTGTGTATCATTCACCTCAATGATACAACATACACAGATGGAACATGTGGTTGTGCCATTTTGCTTGAGTGGTTGAGTATCAATTGCCACATGTTTCCACGAGAGGACAGCAAGGCCTGCTTTGCTGCATGCAACAAAACCACAGTGATAGGTAAGGGTACCTTTGAGAGGCACTGCATGCTACCAACTTTCTTTAATATTGGCACACAATTGATCCTGATGTTTAAGTTGGCCTAAGTTAAGCTCAAACCTTTGTATTGATGAGAAGCAGGACAGGTGTCAGCTCCTTTGCTCTGATGCTTTGTTTTTCTAGGAAGAAAAGGAGATGCTGCGTCACTTCAGATATTCTTTGAATTTGTCTTTGAAATGCAAGAGTGGCCTTCCAAATGACCTGCTTGTTAGAAACTGTCCAAAGAGGAGTTATTTTGGAAGTTTGCTATCACTCATATGAGAAAGATGTCCTGTCCACCTGAGTTGGATTTTCATTTGGATGGTGTTGACACCTGTTCTTTTTATATATATATATATATATATATATATATATATATATATATATATATATATATATATATATATATAAGCAAATATATGGATATAGATCCGACAGTATGAAGAAAAATATACTGAAAAAAAAAAAACAAAAAAATCCTAATATGCGATTATGCTGTTTTAATGTTTAATGTCAACGTTGGACGTTTCGGTCTAATAGACCATCTTCGGGACATATTCATAAAACATAATTAACATAGACCATATACAATTCAACATGAAAAAGACGATGGACATAAAAGCAATACCAATCCAAACAGATAACTGAAATCTTTTATAAGATCTGCATTCCGTTTAAATATGAAGCAGGCATAATATCTATCTCATGCACGGTGAACACTAGACCTAGCTTCTTTAATATTCCCCCTTTTCTAGCAAGATTAATGCTCGACAAATGTATATATAAGTTTTAGATCAAAATAAAATTCTTTTCGTTTTTCATTCAAAATACTCAAATTTTAGGAATACGTTTTCACAACATCACCCATGTGATGATGA